GACTAACACCCTCAGGAGATGACTAACACCCTCAGGGGACGACTAACACCCTCAGGAGATGACTAACACCCTCAGGAGACGACTAACACCCTCAGGGGATAACTAACACCCTCAGGGGCGACTAACACCCTCAGGAGATGATTAACACCCTCAGGAGACGACTAACACCCTCAGGGACGACTAACACCATCAGGGACAACTAACACCCACCAGCAGCTGGGAAGCATCCATGGAACTGCCCAAACCCACCCACCATACAGCAACAAGCCAAAGGCCACTCAGAAACCACAAGTGCTCTCCAGGTCTGGACCAAGGCAGTCTCAACAAGGATGAGGAAAGAGAAAAAAAAGAAATTAGCATAGCAAGGGATGAATTTTTACTCAAAAGCCTGAGAGTGAGAGAAAACATTTGAGAATTATAGTAGAAAAGGAAAGCAACTTATCTAGGAAAAATACACTTGATAAGACAGTACTTCATGAAATAGAGGCAAGAAGCAAAACAGAGAACATCTGAGATGGAGCAATGACAAGAATGGACCGTCAAGGAAGGCCTGGCCAGGAGGAGGACAGAGGGAGAGAGACTCCATACGTCACTGCAACAGTGCGTATGTGTTAGGCCAAGTGATGAGCCACACTCTGTACCCAGCAGTTGGTGATGCGGAGGACCTGAGATCAGAGTGGAGAGGACTAGGATACGGGGAAAACAACAACAAAATTGTAGCCATGGAGACAGAAAAATGAACCATAAGTGCTTCCTCCAGAAGAAACTGGATTCGTGGAAAGGAAGGAACAAGTGAAGCTTCACAAAAGCAAACGTTTGGTGGCTAAAAATTACCCTGAGTGTCCCGTGTGGGAGTCTCATGAGAGGAAGGGAGGGAAGCCAGCACCCAGCTGGATGGGTTCAGGGAATCTGTGAATAGAAGACTTAACCTTGACAACGTGATGCTAAGTGAAGGACGCCAGTCACAAAGGGCAACATGTCGTGGGATTACCTTCAGACAAATATCCGGAACAGACAAGTCTACAGGGACAGAGAGCAGACTAGTGGCCCCACAGACTGGGGACGGGGAGTGAGTAATGGGTGCAGAGGATGAAGATGCTTTCAAATTAGATCATGGGGGTGGCTGCACAGACGTGTGGATATTCCAAAACTCACTCTGGTACACATTTTAAATGGAGGAAGTGAATCAGATCTCAATAAAACTGATAAAGATGAAATATAAAGATTTTACAAAAACAGTGGCAATAAAAACAAAAATAAGTGCAGACAAGTCTAAGCACAATATCAATGTCAAAGTTACTGGAAATTGCCACATCCGGTCACCCACATACCGCACAGCCTGGGACACTGATGCCTTGGGGCATAGCATATGCACCCACAGCGCTCCTGCCTCTGCTTCTCCCAGACCTCATCACTGTGTGCTCTGCAGTGTCCACAGAGCAGCCCTCGTGTCAGAGTCATCCTCTCACCCTGCTGCTTCTGGGCTTTTTCCTGCCTGGATCTCAGCCTCACCTCTGAGCTCCCAGTATCAGGTGAGACAAAGGAGACGTAAGTGGAGAGGCAGAGCCACGTCTTGATGACAGCCCTCTGACAGTGACACTGAGCCCAGCGCTTGTCATCACTGCCTTTAATTTAGCACAGTGCCTCCTGGAAAGGCCTCAGTGGATTCAGAAAGCACTGGGCCCTCGGGGTCTCATCTGGCTTCATGGACACAAGGGAAATTGCCAAGAGTCTTCTGGGAAATGTGGTCATATTTCTCAGCAGAGATGCCTTACGCCCAACCCACCTAGGCCAGCTGTCCTCACCTGGGACACACACAGAGTCCCGCAGCAAACAGCGAGGTGCTGTAGGACAGCTTGTCCCAGACTCCTGTGTAGGGTCCTGTTCAGATGCAGTCAGCAAGTCTGGAGGGTGCCAAGGTTGGCCTTCCCAACCAGCTCCCCAGTGGTGCTAATTAATGAGGCTAGCAACAGGTCACACTGTCCTCCAGGGAATTCCAGTGGCAGAGATGGGAGTTAGATGAAAAAATGGTGAGGATTCTGGGGCAAGTGATCTACACCAGCAGGAAGTCGTGGAGCAGGTGTGAAGAAGTGTGAATAGCAACAGCACGGGGACAGGAGTCTGTGAGGCATTAGGTGGGTCAGAGGAAGGGGCTGAGGAAGGCAGGCTTTGTCCTATGGCCTCTGGGAATCCGGTTTGAGCTGCTGAGATTTTGAGTTTTGGTGGCGGTAATGAGTGACACTTTCTCCTCTGTCACATTTAAAGAGAAGGAGGAAGACAGAAATAGATGTCAACATACCTTTAGCCGAAAACAGACGAGCCCCAGAATGACTTCTGCACAGATTTCAAAATGAGGATCCTGGCTCACTAATGACTCAAACTCGTGAGACAGCTGGACATGCTTGAAAGTGAAAAGGGAAAATTTGTTTTGAGTCTCTCATCGCCACTTAATTCCTAACTTAACTACCTGGAAACATTATTAGACTGTGCATATATAATTCATTCAGATGCTCTTAGCAATTTTCCTTAAGTGTTTGTGCCATCCACTCTCTAGCTCTTCCCAAGCAAGCTGAGAAGAAATCCATGTTACCAAGAGAAAAGGTCTAGTGTTTTTGGAGAAACACTAACCATCATTTTCTTCTGTTCATGGCACTGTTTTTTATCCCAACCAGCCAACTTTTTATAATGTTAGAACAAATACCATGAAGAGGTATTTGAAACTCTAGAAGAGATAGTGGCTAACATTCATCTCCGTTGTGCCATCCCCAGGAGAGCCCACAACACTGGTGGAGCCCGTTTTGCAGGTAAGAAAACTGAGGCTCAGAGACGGTAAGTGACACACTCATGGTCCCAGGCTGGCAGGCTGGGATTCTAAGGCACCTGCCAAGTCCAGAGTGTCCTTCTCTGCACTGTGGTGTGTGTCCCACCAAGTGGTATTTGCCACCTAGAGGTCCCTGTTACTTTCAAGAACTACCTTCCTTTCATAGAATATACCAACCTATGTAACCTCCAGATGTGTATAGAATTCAAAATATACTCAAATAGTATATGATCCTATATTGAAAAAGGCTTTCAATAGTCTAAATTGCATGTGCTTGGGCTTATTCTAAGCTCTGGGCCCTCAGCCTCAGATGCTCTGGGGGCTCTGAGCTGAAATAATACTGCGCCATCGACAATGTTGAAACAGGTGGTTAATAGTGACACCACGAGAGGGCGCCAAAGACTTTGGCCGTGAAGGTGACCCGCAAGCTGACTCCCACCTGGCCACCAGGAGGCTCTCCTAAGGCAGGCCCCAGTGCCCTCTCAGAGAGGGGTGGGGTGTGTTTTAACATGAGACAGGGCTAAGCACAACTAACTGTCCCTAAATGTAAAGACATCATTACTGTGGAGAAATAAACCACTCATTTTTCTTCTTCTTTCCCCAAAGAAGCTGAATCCACCCCCATCACAATGTTCTCCAGCCCCTCTCCCTGCAGTGGGGAGTGGGGGAATATCTCAACTATAAACTAATATGCACACTTACTCCTAGTTTCTCCCTAAAATAGATTCTCATAATGCTCGACAGCCCATGTTCCTTTCCTCACCACAGCCTGTGAGGCAGAGGGACATGGTTGATAGCCCAGAACAGGCGCTCGATCGGCAAATGCAGACAATGCCTTTCCGGACATCCTGCCCAGAGGAAAAGCCCCGAGACACAGGGCCTGCTATACAGCTGCTCCCAGGGCAGCACCAGAACTTAAGGGCTGTCACCATCATTGGGGCTAAAAACCACCACCACCTGCTCCCCCTCAGGCCCTGGGCCACTTGTGCACCTCAGGGAGGAACCAGGCGGGGCCTGGAGCCAGCAGGCCTCTGCACCAGCTAAGCGTGCGGCCTGGGCCGTCCTGCCTCGCATTCTGGCCTTACTTTCCTCAGCTGTTAGAAATCAAGCAGGGGCCTGGGCTCCAAGCAGACCTGTCAGCTGCGCTCCAGTTTCAGCCTGTGCTTTTAAGACAGAGGTCAGAGGTCGCTGGGTGCCACTGTGAGCTGGCTGCAGGTCTGGAGCCTTGAGAGCCACTGGACCAGGTGGCATCTGGCCCACCCCAGCTCTAAGACACTCCTACTCTGGTGAAGTCTTGGAGGAAAAACACGTTCTTGCTATTGCCATTGTGGAGCAGCCTCACTGTCGGCTGACGTAGCTGTGACCTATGTGCTGTTTTCCCTTCTGTCGTCTTCCTGGAGCTGGTAACCTGCTAATGGAAGTCACTTGTAAGTACCCTCCCTCAACAACCCAAGTGCAGTCTGTTCCTTTACCATATGCAGTCCAGCCTCCACGGCTGACCACCTCCCTACACTGACCTCCCGTTTAGGCTGGCCTAATTGTCACAGGCCAGACGTGCCTCACATGTGCATATCAGTACAGCAGGCCCAGCTGCTGTGTTGACCACCTCCGTGTGCTGACCAGTGTGTTACAGTCCCTTGGGTGGTCCGCTGACAGAGGGTCTACTGTATTTGCTTATTAAGACATCCCCTAAAACCTCTACAGTATTACCCAGGAAAGCAATGAAAAGGAAGTCACCTTTCGGATATAAGCCTGCAGGCCTTTCACGCCATACATCCTAAAAACAAACCACATTTTCAAAGAGCGAAATCTTCGGCCCAGGGGTAACTGCCAGTGCTGAAACACAACACAAAGCATTGCATCAGTGCGGAAGATACTAGGAGGCACTTCCTTCTGGACTCATGAGTCTACCTGCTTCCCTTGGAGGCAGCTGCCTCCCTGGTGGCCACATGCTCTAGCTGCCACAGCCGTCTTGGACCGAGAGCCCCTGTGATAGCAGCAGCTCCACACTCAGGGGGCTCTCTGTGCATAGGTCCAGGGGAGGTGAGAACAGACGGGGACTGCTGAGCTGGGAGTCCAAACATGCACTGCTTTCCCTCCACAGATGTTTGCTGAGTGCACATCAGGGCTAGACCCTGGGCTAGGCATGGGGTACTGAGTGAGCCAATGGTGACAATTTGACCCTGTCCCTGGGCTCCCCATGCATGGGGACAGGGAGTGTCTTTCATGGTTATCTCTGCCTATGAGAAAGGGGCTTACGGCAGATACTTGCACTCCCCTGCTTCTTGCTGCCCATATGTCCTGGCACCATTTTCTAGGAAAATGTTGCTTCTGTTTATGTGTCACTGATCACTGGGAGGTGACCACCAAGATTCCTCAGCAGAATACACAATGCATGTCCACATGTTAGTCCTCCAAGAAGCTCTTCTTAGTTTTCCTAGACTTTGTTCACTGTCCAGTCCCCCACACTTTCTGTTACTCAGGTGGGAATGTAACAACACCAGTCGGAGAGCACAGGATGAGGAGGACAGGCCTTTTGGGAAGACAATATGGCAGCACTTCATACTATTTTTTAAATAACAATATTCTAGCTTATAGAGGAGGGGACTCCTACCAGCAGGAGTGCCCTGGGACAGGCTTGGGGCGGTGTTTTGCCATAAGGAAAAGACCCCAGACCCACCCAGGCTGCCTGCCAGTGGGGCACCTGTGGGCTGGCCAACCCAAGTCTGGCACTGTCTTCAGTAGAACTTGCAGGTGTTTTTTGTTTGTATTTTTTTTCCTGGAATATTACAGGGGTACATGGGCGGCGCCTGTGGCTCAAAGGAGTAGGGCGCCAGCCCCATATGCCAGAGGTGGCGGGTTCAAACCCCGCCCCGACCAAAAACTGCAAAAAAAAAAAAATTACAGGGGTACATACATTTTGGTTATGTATTTTGCTTTTGTACATTTTAAGTCAAAGTTATAAATGTGCCCTTCACCCAGAACGTGTATATTGTACCGGAAAGGTGCGAATTTATCCTACCTGTCCTCCCTACTCCCACCTACTTAACTTCCTTTGAGTTTTACTTCCCTACGTAAGTGTTGATAATTCCAACTTAGTCCTGAGTACATGTGGTGTTTGTTTTTCCATTCTTGTGATACTTTGTTTAGGAGAATGGTCTCCAGTTCCATCCAGATTCTGATAAAAGATCCTACATCATCACCTTTTCCTGGCTGAGTAGTACTCCATGGTCACGTATTGATGAGCACTTAGGTTGTTTCTGCCTCTTTGTGACTGTGGGTTGTGCTGCAATAAATATTCAAGTGCAAATGTCTTTTATAAAACGTCTTTTTTTTCCTTTCGGTATATACCTAGTAGTGGGATTGCTGGATCAAAGATCTACTTCTAGTTCCTTGAGGTGTCTCCATAGAAGTCACACTAGTTTGCAGACCCATCAGCAGGCTAGGAGTGTTCCTTTCTCTCTGCAGCCATGCCCGCATCTGTTGCTTTGAGACTTTTTCATCAAGTGATATCTCATTGTGGGTTTGATTTGCATTTCCCTGATGATTTGAGATGCTGAGCATTTTTTCATGTATTTGTTGGCCAGCACCTCCGTGTACTGACCAGTGTGTTACAGTCCCTTGGGTGGTCTGCTTACAGAGGATCTACTGTATTTGCTTATTAGACTATCTTCCTTTGAACAGTTCCTGTTCATGACTTTTGTTTACCTTTTAATGGGGTCGTTTGATTTTTTCTTGCTGATTTGCTTGAGTTCTTCGTAGTTTCTTGCAGGTGGTTTTCAATAGTGAGTGTTGAATAAACAAATGGAAGCCACTTCTGAACTGCAAAAGAAGCAGCTCTGGGCAGAGCGAGGGCTCTGCAGAAACTTTTCAACTGGCAAAGGGAAATATGGAGCCAATGTTTAGACTCAGAGCCACTCAGTCTGGTTCTCCAACTTGATGCCAGGCCTGTGCTAGGTGTATTCGCACATCATCTCATTTTAGCCTCCTGACAGCATTGCAAAAAGAGGTTTGAATCACTACTTTGCTAGAGAGAAACCAGGCATGGAGACGGACTTGTCCAATGTCACCGAGCCAGAATATGACAGAGCCTGAATCACACCCACGTGCACACTGCTGTCTTGTATTCGGCAGTGTATTTTCAAACTGTTGAGATGTTCAGTAAGCATTACACTAACTTGCCTTTTTGGAGAATGTAAAAGTAGCAGCTCTCACCAGCTAACTAAACTAACGTGCTGACTAACTAATGATGATGATGGCCAGTAAAGCAATGGCTCCCTGACACTGCTCAGCATGGCTGCTGCATTCTAAAATCATTCTCAACAGGTCAACCTGCTAGAAATTAAGATGTGATTCAAATCTAGCATTTGGAAGAATACCAAAGTAAACTTAATTTCTGTGGTGCTGGACTGAAAATGCACACAGCTTAACTGAATACTCATTCAAATCTGGCTCCAAATGCTGTCATTAGTTCTGCCAGCCTGAGGCTGCCTCAGGTGTGGGGCTGGGACAGACACTCCTCCACACTTCCTGCCCCTATGCTCAGCCCCCCCCCACCCCGGTTACACCAACGCAGGGCTTGCCTCAGGGCAGCCACAGCTCCTATAATTCCCCCAGGGGACAGGGACTCTGTCCCAGCCCCATACCCAGCATCTGGCCTGGCTCAATGCGGATGGAATATCGCTGACCAGAGGGAAGCTTGTTTCATACTCACGCACAGGTCATGTGAAATGATTTTGCATGTAGCAGTCAATTTGTATTTGAGGCTTCCTGGATATCAAATGAGTTATTTTCCTTTGGGTAAATACCTAGTAGTGGGATTGCTGGATCAAAGATCTACTTCTAGTTCTTTGAGGTGTCTCCATAGAAGTCACGCTAGTTTGCAATCCCACCAGCAGGCTAGGAGTGTTCCTTTCTCTCTGCAGCCATGTTCTTTTCCATACATTGAAATTTTTTAATCCTATATTTTGTCACACTTTTGATAAATCATCACAATGTAACAGAAGACTCAGATTTCTTCATCCAAATAGTGCAGAAGGCTGTGGGACTGAGCACAAAGGCCTGAGCCTGTCTTCCAGTTAGGTTCCATGTGTTCTCTTAACTCTTCTGAGCCTCAGTCTCCTTACCTGAGATATGGGGGCACAATGATGTCCACTTTGCCCAGGACCAGCTGAGCTGGAGGCTAGGGCTGCTGTCCCTCCCACTGCCGTCTGCTGTTCACAACCAGAAACAATACAGGACTTCTTTGCCAACCCTCCTGTCCTACAGCCTCCTCTCGGGGCCAGGACTCTGTCCTTGTGCCCTCATCCTCTGGTGGGTGGACAGCCAGGGGCCTGGGTCAGCAGCTGCACATGTGGGGTCTTCTCCCCGGCTGGTGGCTGTGATGGCCTTATGTTTGGGCTTCTAACCTCTGTAAACAAAACAAGGATGTCACTGACGATGATATTCTTTCCTTCACCAGCTGAGTCTTGTGACAAGGCCAGGGTCTGAGGCATTGTCTAGAATTCACTTTTGAAAGAAGAAACCATGAAAGCTGGAGCTGCATGTGTGCTTATCAGAAAGGGCAGAAGTTGCTGCATTCTGGCTATGACAGCAGCAAAGAAGACAAGTCAGGAAATACGGTCAGGGACCCTCTTGGGTTGTGGCAGAGGGCAAGTGTCCAGGGGGAGGTGGTGACACCTGCCCTATGCCTGTGCCACAGATGGAAGGAGCAAAAGCCCCAGGCCCACGGCACAGCAGGGGCCAGAATCAGGCTGCCACACTCACACTCCACCTTGTATGTTCTTTCCTGGTAGGGCCACCCTGAGTCTGTCCCTCTGTGGCCCCTACTAATTTTTGGAAAAGGGGTGCTACGGGCACTCATGTGACTCTGTGTTTGAAGCCTCTCAGTTCCAAAATAACTTGTCATCCTCCGCATTCAGTCTTTCATATGATTCATTCATTTATCCATTCATTAGCCATAAAGTATTCGCTGGGAGTGCACCACGCAGCCTTCCTATTCTCCCACAGCACAGCATAGCGGCACAATTGTCCTGGAGGGGCCCCGCAAGCCAGCAGGAGCACGGCGGGGGCCAGGCTGCTATTGTGAATCACACCTGCCTGGACACAGCCTCCTTAAAAACAGTAGGTGGCCCTGGGGGGAAGGGAGGGTGCGCTGTCCGCACCCAAGGTACATCCACACCCGACATGTGACTCATGCTGCTTGAGACTTTGTAACCCCGAGTATAACAAACGACATGAGGAGAGGCTAGAAGGCCCGAGGACGAGCTGAGGCACTGGGATCACTGAAGACTGGGGTGTTTTCAGCGTGTCCAGATGGATCAGGGGGACTGGGCGGTCTGTGCCTCCATCTGCCTCAGTACCCTGGGCATCTGGGGGGCAGCTCTAGGGTCTTCCCCACCTCCACACAGGTTCCAGAGCTGCACTTGGTCCCTGGTTGGAAAGGGAGTGTCCAGTTCAGAAGCCACCTCAACAGACTTGGTGCAAGAGACTGAAGTCTTCCTTGAGGGGCAGAGGCAGCGGTCCAGCTGCCCGGCCCCACCCTGGGGTTTTACCTCCCTGTGGGGATGGGGGGGGGACCATTCCTTCAATTAGCCTCCCAGCGCTAATTTTGGCCTCCAAATTGCTTTCCAGAATGAGACTTTGGCCACCTGGTCCTTTCAAAGCATTTTCACTCTGCACACACAGGGTAAATAAACAGAGGGAGGGCCAAGGTGATTTGAGGCCGCCTGCTGAGATGACATCCTCCAGCTGAGTGACGCTTATGTTCTCTCTCTCATTCTCCCACATCCTCTGATGCACCCCAGGCACAGGGCGGCTCTGAATGGCATGGCACACTGTCCGGACCAGCACTCCTTCCTGTTTGCAGGGTCAGGCACAGAAGCTCCTTCCTTCCCCCTTCCCGGGAGCGCAGTCAGAGTCACATCCTCCTAACCTGAGACCTGCAATTGGTGGGCTCTGCTGAGCCGCCCACTGCCTAGCAGGGCCACACCTAACAGGACCCAGTCAGACGGTGCCTTCCATGGGGCCTGGTCATGGGACTGAGAGAAGGCTTCAGGAGCTATAGTCATGGGGGTTCCTAGTAACTGCTCACACTTGGGTCACAGTGGACCCAGCTTAGGAAGGCACATCTCCCACTCACCCTGTAGTCAGTGATGAGTCCTGGGTAAAAGAAAAGGAAAAAGAAAAAAGAACTGTTAGATTTGTTAATCATGCAATAATCCTCTCATCATCCAGGTAAATTTCTTGTGTCATTTACATCTTTTGAGCCAGACATTAAAACCACCCAAGTATTGGACATGGGTGTTCTTTGTGACACTTCCCAGGGACAGTTATATAGCATGAAAAACTGAGATTTCCTCTAGTGCCCAGTGTTAAGTCAGCATTCAGACCATGTAAATCATTAATCATTCGTTCATTCATGCATAGTGAGGTGAACTGGAGAGACAAAGAGTGATTAGAATATTGAAAAAAGGAAGAGAATGAAACTCTTGATGGAGGCATCTACGTGTGTGTCCATGGGTGTCAGTGCAGTTTATGGCACAGAGCAGACACCCCGAGAGTAATCATGGAGTCAGTTTCAATACCTCCATACTGGTTATGAGAAACGGCCGGGTGGCAGCTGAGGCTCCCTTAAACAGTTCATCTGAGGGTCACAGGGAGAGAAGAGTCATGAATGTGGTCTCATGGGCAGGGCTTTCTACCAGTGACCCAGGCAAAGGGGAGAATCTTCTCAGGGAAGAATCTGCTGTCCTGCTCCTCATGAGGTTGTGAGAAAGTGGTCACATGATTTGCAAGCCTGATCCACTATGGACAGGGTGCACTGGTGCCCCCAACTTCTGGGAAAAGAGCAGTGTGGCATGGCCAGAACAGGCCCTTAGGGAGAGGGGAAGGGAGGGGGTGGGTCAATAGAGGGAGGGTTGGTAGGGGGACCACACCTATGGAGCATACTGCAAGTACAAGTTGGATCTATCAGGTGTAGAGCACAAATGTCTTAATCCTCTAATAGGGTAAAAGTGGTGAAGGCTATGTTGTTTAATAGGATGTAAGCATTCTAGTTTGTACAGATAATCAACACATTGAATCCCATAATGGCATAAATATATTTATGATCTATGTACAAATGACTGAATTAAAAAAAAAAAAAGATAAAGAATAGCAATGCCAGGAAGCAATGTGGGACCATCAGGCTCAAACCCCTACTTAGGAGTGACTCGAGACAGAAGCCCAAAGCCACACAGTCTGCATCAGCCTCTCACGAGCACGTCTTCCTCACACCTCACGGCCCCTCACTAGTTAAACAAACCTAAAGGCAGCGGGAGGGGCCTCAGAAGTAACCTGACAGTGAAAGATCCACAGAAGCCAACAGAAGCAAACCAACAGCGCTCAAAAGAGGACTTGGTAGACAGTGGGCACTCAGTAAGAATGGCCAGATGGCTGTTGTGACTGGGAGTGAAGGCATGACGGTCCTTGGCTTTACATTACCGCACCTCTGACAGGATAGCCGCTAGCCACATCTGGCTATTTAAAATTAAATTTAGGCTTGGCGCCTATAGCTCAACCGGCTAAGGTGCCAGCCACGTACACCTAAGGTGGCGGGTTCAAATCCAGCCCAGGCCCGCCAAACAACAATGATGGCTGCAACCAAAAAATAGCCGGGCGTTGTGGCGGGCGCCTGTGGTCCCAGCTACTTGGGAGGCGGAGGCAGGAGACTCGCTTGAGCCCAGGAGTTGGAGGTTGCTGTGAGCTGTAATGCCACGGCACTCTGCCCAGGGGGACAGCTTGAGGCTCTGTCTCAAAAAAAATAAATAAATAAATAAAAATTTAATTTAATTTAAATTTAAGTTTATCAAGAAGAAAATAAATTAAAAAGTTAGTTCTTCAGTGGACAAGTCACATTTCAAGTGCTCAGTACCCAGATGGACAGCGCAGAGTTATGGAATGTTTCCTTCCCTGCAGAAGCTCCTACTAGACAGGGAACTAGGGGCTTCCCGCAGAAAGGTTCAGATACTGTAGCTTCTACAGCCAAGTGACGTAACTGGGGAAAGTTCTAATCTGCTTCCTTATGGACTAGTGAAGAACTGGCTTAATTTAGGAGCTTTCTTGTACAGTTGTTCACCATTGACAGAAAATGACAGCTCTCTTGGTCAGAAATTTCCTATGACAATGGTTTTACATATGCTGTGAACTACTTAGTAGGTCTTAGGTCCCTGCTAAGGCTTTAAAACTTCATGACATATATGTGAGGTGGACAGCTTATAAATTTGTAAATTTTTAGCTCATATAGAGTTAAAACAATAAAAGCAGATACTTCATAGAAGAAGACAGGTAAGAAATACAATAATATGCAAGGTGTCCATAAAGTTTGTGTGCCATCTACAAAGTTAAACTGTTTTAAATTGCACATAAACTTTATGGCCACCCTGTGTTAGCAAATGTTTGTATTTCGGTGATGGAAATATGAGAATTTTCTGGGCCAGCATTGACTTTGTTCTGTTTTCCAAATGCGTATCTTTAATAAGAAAGAATATGTCTGAGAAGCTCATACAGCTCATGTGACCACTCCCCCCCCCCCACCAGCATTAGGACAGAATTTTCTGTGTCAAAAAACGAATAAACAAACAAGATTCCATGTATTTTGTTTCTGGGTCAATGCTCATTGGTCATACACATTGGCCCAGGTCAAACAGAACAACATGTAAAGCACAAAGCCGACAGCCATGCTTCCCTGCTAGCCCCGCTCAGCCTGCGTCTCCCACACTGCCAGGCCCCCCTCAGCCTGTGTCTCCCACACTGCACCTGGGGGTGGCCTGGATTCCCTGTCACTGCTGAGTCACTGGTGCCAGGCCCAGAGAGCAGGTCTGCTGACCAGGCACTGAGTGGTGTGTCTGTCATCTGATTTTCTCTTCACTCACTGCCCTCACCTTGGCCTTTTACCTTCCCCCCCCTTGTGGTATTGAGGGAAGGTGACGCACATCCTTTTTTGGAAAGACATTAGAGCAGTTACTGTCTTAAAGAGCTTCCCTTACCAGTAGGAGGGGCCCATGCCCATGTTGAGAACCGGCGGCTAAGCCCACCTGCCCTGGGCATGGTTGCTACCCCTACACTGAGCATCCCAGGTCTCAGTGCTTTGGGAACAGGAGCTTCCCCTAGGGGAGCCTCCTAACTGACCCAACCCATGGGAAAGGGCCTTCGAGGCAAGTCCAGAAACACATAGGCCCCCGTCAAACAAGTCGGGAGAGAGGCTGCAGAGAGCGTGCCCTCGGCTCACCTGAGTCCTGATGGCTGTGCTTCAGGTAAACAGGGTCCAGTTTAAAGGCTCCCGTTAAGTCTGTTCTCTTTTTCACCCTGGTTTTATCGAATAAGTGACAGGGATGGGATTAATGACCAGGCACCTCAGAGTGGACGACATTGCCCCCTCTCCCCACCTGGCTCAGCCCAGGCACCTGCTTCCACCCTGGCCCCCATGTCCCCTTCTCTCTGGCACAGGGTTGTCACCAGGGCTCTGAGCCCTGGTGAGCGGTGTTACAATCAAAAATAAATATTTGGTGTTTCCTCCAGTTGCTGGCAGGCAACTCCCACTGCCCTGGGATCTCCACAGGGTAAGAATGTCTTTTGTATGTAAATGAGATGGCTGCTGGCTGGAGTCCCTAGATGGCTTCCAAGGCATCAGGTAGCGGCTGTGCCCTCTCCAGGTACACACCATCCTCACACCTTGGAGCACTGACCAGCCCAAAAGCTCCCCAAAGTCTGTCACTGAGGAGTTTTCAATGGATTTTCATTAAGTAGGCAAATTAATAAGATCACTGGCCAACTCAGTCTTCACCCTTCCCCCTCCCTGGAGATAGGGGATGGGAGGGAACTTGCAGCCCATACTCAGCTCTCCCTCCCCAGCCCTGTGCCCCTCGCCATTCACACCCTTTATAATAAACCTGTAAACATAAGATGCTTTCTGCAGTTCTCTGAGTTGTTTCAGAAAGTTATTGAACTGGGGCTGGGATTGCGAGACTCTCCCCACCCGACTTCACAGCCACATTGGACAGAAGTGTAGGTAACCTGGGGACCAATTACTAGATTGGCATCTGGAGTAGGGCAGTCTAGTGGAACTGAGCCCTTATACCCAAGTAGTGTCAGAATAAGACCGAGTGATAGGACACCTGGCTACTGTCTGCAGAGTGGAGAATCAGTGTTAGGAGAAGACCACGTAGGTCAGCACTTGTCCCCTCCTATGTTCCCGGCACAGCATGGGGCCTGGCGCCTGGTGGCATGGGGAAGTATGTTCTGGGTGAAAACACAGAGGTTGATGAGCAGGAAGGCAGAGACGCCCCTTTGTGACATGGGTCCCTGTCCACCTGTCTGCCCAAGGAGCACTCACTGATAACCGCTCTGGAAAACGAGGGCCGGGATTTGAAGGGCCTGCACTATCTGATAATAGCTGCTCCGCTTCATTGCCTGTGTGGACACCGTCTCAAAGCAATTTTGTGGCAAATAAAGTACCCTAGGGGCCAACTAGACAATGTCAATCTGACAGCAGCTTAGGCTCAAAAACAAACACAGCGTGAGAGTTCCTAAAAGATAAAACCCAGTGAGCATGAAACAGGGTGCCAGGACGTAGCTTCCCAGTGTGGAGACAGAAAGGAAAGAGGCTGAAACATAATTGAAGTTTTAATTCTTTAAAGGGTTAAAAGACAGACTAGTAGAAATAATAAACTATCTAGTGTATATTCTCACTTTGACCCGGGAAAGAAAATCTGTCACCCCTAACACTCCGTGTGCGTGTGTGTATTTGTGTGTGTGTGTACGTGCGTGCGTGTGAGTGCTGTTACATCCAGACAAATAGGCTGCAGGATGTCCTTTGGGTGTCTCCATGTTGGGACAAGCTCTTAAAGAAGGGACAGGAGAGAAAAAGAGTGTGACTGTCTACAGCTGCCAATAGAATTCTTCCCTTTGCTCATAAAGATCATACTTCCCCTCCCCACCAACTCTCAGCCAGGACCTTCCAGCTGTTTTTATTTTCTTAATTAAAAAAAATATCATGCCCCGGGTGGCGCCTGTGGCTCACTGAGTGGGGTGCCAGCCCCATATACCGAGGGTGGTAGGTTCCAATCGGCCCCTGCCAAACTGCAACAAAAAAATAGCCAGGCATTGTGGTGGGTGCCTGTAGTCCCAGCTACTCAGGAGGCTGAGGCAAGAGAATCACCTAAGCCCAGGAGTTGGAGGTTGCTGTGACCTGTGATGCCATTGCACTCTACTGAGGGTGACAAAGTGAGACTCTGTCTCCTAAAATAGAAAAAAATCATGCCCCATGAAAGCCATACAAAAAGGCATAAAGAATAATATCTTTACCCATGCTTGAGAAACAAAACTTAAATCCTAAATAAAAGTTACATCTTCCTGTGTGTCTGCCCCGTCACCGGTCCCTCACTGTCCCTGTTCTATATAGGAGGATGCCAAGCTGAATTTTGGTAAACCCTTCCCACATAGTTCTACAAAATGTTCTACTTGTTTTTGGTTTGGTGTTATGTTTTGTTTTGTGACAGGGTCTTGTTCTATTGCCTGAGCTAAAGCACAGTGGCATCATTACAGCTCACTGTCATCCCAAACTCTTGAGTTCAAGGTATCCTGCCTCAGCCTTCCAAAGGTGTCTGCCACAATGCCCAGCTAATTTTTCTATTTTTAGTAGCAACAGGGTCTTTCTCTTGTTGGAGCTAGTCCTGAACTCCAAGAGATCCTCCTGCCTCAGCCCCCCAGAGTGCTAGGATTACTGATGTGATCCCTGTCTATTTTCCAAGTTTCCAAATATACGGTAACATAAACTTAAGACATTTAATCATAAATGGCATCATTCTCTGTGTATTTTTCTACAACTTGCTTTTCCTCCCAAAAATTGCCTTGTGAGCTTCACACCCATTCATACATGTAGTTCCTGTGTGCTTGTTTTTACCACTTTGCTGGATTTTACCGCACTCAAGTATCCAGATCCCTCATCCTCCTCCCTCCCCTGTCCCGGTTACTGTCGGACACACTGCACTGCTGTGAGCGCTCCTGTGGGTGCCAGCCAGCGCCTCTGAGCCGCAGCGTGTGCAGACATACATTTGCTTATGGAATTGGACAGGGCGAGGTGTCTTAAGGTTGGAGAAAGGTTTCTAGGACCTTACTGGACAGAGAGCACCATATCCGTCCCAGGGACAGCGATGTGGCATTCGCGCTTCTCCAGCGCCACATCCTGGCCACCACTGGTATGGCAGAAACTTCACTGGCAACAGTGTGGAGAGTTTCATTGTGACTTCACTTTGCATTTCTGACGACTAATGACACCGTGCCACTTCAAACTCACTAAGGGCGGTATCTGTTTCCTCTTTGGCAAAGACATTTCCCATCATTTTTCTATTAGATTGCTTATTGTTGTCATTCTGGACTGTTACCATTCTGTAAACATTCAGATCACGAATTTGACTGTGTGTGGTCTGTTTCTTGGCTCTTTACCTACCTTGCCTCTCCTGTCTTCCCCCTGGGCCGCTGGACACTGACTCATCATTGACATTTGATGAAGCTGCTTCCCTGCTATATTTTTTCAAAAGTCTCTTGGTTATCAGTGGTCCATATAAATATTACACCAGCCAGGACATTCACTGGAATTGCACTAAAATCTGATATTGAATCTTCCTCTCTGCGTACACAACATATCACTTCATTTAGCTAGGATGTCTTTAAGGCCTTACAAAATATTGTAGAATTCTCTTCATATAAATCTGAACAGGTTTTGATATATTTATTCATAGTAACCATGTATCTTTACTTACTATTATAAAGAGTAATTATTTTTTAAAAATTGGATGTGCTATTTATTATAGATGTAAAAAAAAAAGCAACCTTAAAAACTGCTACTGTATCAGACATCTAGCTCTGTTCTGTTAATTAATAACACTGTAAAGATTCTCTTTCAGACTTTTTGCAGACAGTGACATCATCTGAGAATATGGGAGTTTCATATCTTACATTATATCTTTTACTTATCTTTTCTTACTATGCAAGTTAGGAGAGTACAGTGTTGCACAGATGCGGTGATTATGGGAATCTTTATTTTATCCTGATTTTAAAGGGAGTGCTTCTAATATTGAACCATTGAGAAAGGCCTACTACAGCTTTTTAGTAGATAGTCTTTTATTAGGTTAAGACAGTTCTCCTCTGTTGTTATTTTACTGACCCTTGTCCTAAACAGGTATTACATTTTATCTAATGCTTTTTCTGCCTCTAATATGGTGATGACTTTTTTTCTCCTTCACTGTTAACATGGCAAATGACATTTTAAAATCTTCTAATACTAAACCACTCTGGCATATCTGGACTAAATACAATTTGGTATGTCATACTATGTTTTTTAAAAAATCATCAGATTTTATTTGCTAATGTTCAACTTAGATTTTTACTTTTAAGTTTGTAAGGTTGTTGTACAGTTTTTCGTTTTCAGCTTCTCATCTTGTTTTGAAATCAAAGTTGGACTCACTTCATGAAATTAAAGAGGGAGTGTGTCCTCTTTGCTGTCCTCTGTGAATTCACTTAGGATGGGACTAATAAATCCCTGCAGTTTGGTAGAATATTTACTGTGTAAGAATTTGGATGTTTCTGTTGTAAGAAGATTTAACTATTGGCACATCGTGTTAGCAACAAGATTTTTGAGGCTTTCTCTTTATTCCTGAGGCAGTTTGGGTAGCATGCTGTATTGTAGGTATTGTCTGTGGGCAGACAATTTATGGGCAATTTTTAGCATTCTTAGTGCCCTCTTACTGTTTTCAGAAATCTCTGACGTATCTGTACATGTTTTTTATTTCCTACTACAGACCACCTGTACCTTTGCCTCTCTAGTTCTGACCCATCTTTCCCCAAGACATGTATTTAATTAGGCAGGCGAAGCACCAACATCTGGCTTTGCTGCCCACTTGGCTGTGTCTTTGTCCATTTCATTACATCCGTTAACCTTTATTATTTTCCTCCTTTTAGTTTTCAGAGGTTTATTCTGTTGCCATTTTCCAGCTTGGTATGCATGCTTAGCTTACAGGTTCTGGGTTTCTGCTTTTCTATTTAAGTCTGTTCTCTAAGGCTTGCTTTAGCTGTGTGTCACTAATTTTATTTTTATTTAGTTTTTAATATTTCCTATTTCCCATTTACTTTATTCATCGACCCATATTTCCACAAGGTCTGTAGTGGTTTCCTCTTCAATATTTAGGTACTGGCTTTGTCTCTTTGTGACATTTGACGGATACTGTAAAGAGGAAGAATTTTACTTAAATAAATAGATGCACACGTGCACATCTGCACACAGGTCAACATCCTTTCAAGGCTGCCTTTCCCTTACACTTTGTGAACCTCTCAGTAAAGACACCCTCTCTTTGAAACCATTCTTGGGAGTGAAGGGAAGGGATCCTGGGATGGGTGAATGCCTGGCTTCTCACATTTTCACTTATACACATCTTCTCTATGTAGGACTTACTGAATGAGGACACGAGTTACCTCCTAGTGTAAAAAAGAGCTGAAAGGATTCATGATACTAAAGAGCTCCCAGACAAAAGTGCAAAGAAACCAAAAAGATATATAGAAAGCTGTCCACTAACTGTTGTAAAACAAGTTCTAGAATCAAGCCTTACCATGACTAGAGCAATTAAGACTCTTGCAAACAACAGACTTTTAAAAAATTTTCTAATATAAAAGATATGTACAAGTGCTATAAAACAATTTGTGATAATATTTAATTGGGGGAAACAAGCTTTTTAAAAATAACGTAGATAATATATGCCTTTGGTGTATGGAGATCTGATATTAAAGAGATATAAAGCTTTGGGCAGAATGGTTCATATTGACATGTAAAAAATTCTACATACCAAGTGAGCAACAGAAACCTTACAAACAAAATAATGAATTCATTATGAAACATATTTACTATGCTTGTAATGATTGCCAGTTTTAGAAACTTTAATTTTCTTGTCCATTTCAACATTTAAAGAACACAAGCAAAGTGTTTATGTTAAGTTTTGGGTCAACCATTGGTAAACTTTAAACAAAAGAGAGACATTTCTTATTTTAACAAATACCTAAAAGCCAGTGAGAGCAATAAAAAAAATTGTGTTATTTGTTGTATTAGTGAAAATTTAAAAGATAGCCATAAAAAAGTTCATCACTTAGGATCATTTGTTTGCTTGGTTTAAACTTGTTGTGTTGTTGTTTCTTATTTATTTTCAGTTTTAGAAACAGGGTCTCACTCTGTTGCCCAGGCTGCCTGCAGTGGCACCATCCATAAGCTATCTCACTGCAGTCTTGAACTCCCAGGCTCAAGCAATCTTCCTGTCATGAGTACTCCTACAGAGTAGCCGTGAATACAGGCACACACTATTATACCCACTTAACTTTATTTATTTTTTGTAGTTATGGGTCTTGCTATATTGCCCAGGGTAGCCTTAAACTGTTGGCCTCAAGAGATCCTCCCCGCCTCAGCCTTCTAAAATGCTGAGATTTCATGTATGGCCACCATGCTCAGTCCTGCTTGGTTAAACTTTTAGGACAGCAGAGGGACGCCTGCCCTTTTCCGAATTCTGGTTTCTACAAGCATCCTTATGATCTGTGTTCTATCGATTAGAACAATACTGAAATAATTTCGTAGACTGTTAAGATATTTATTTCTATTCCATGATATTCAGGACAGTACAAAAAAGGCCTCTGGATAAGATCCTCAGTCTCTTCTCCCCACTCCCTGAGTGCGTCTTCCCTGACACCTCTGCAAACAGGCAGAGGGGACCATCTGCAAACAGCCAGCTTTGTGGACCCGCCTTCAGGTGGGCAGAGCAACAGAACAAGGGAGTTCTGTGATCTGACTGTTCACCTTCTGCCTTTAAGCTGTACATCCTGGGCTCAAACTCAGGACTATTTTCAGTATTTAAGAGAGAACATTGAGTCAATAATAGCTTGAACAAAAGCAGAAATGGAACTGGAGGCTGATTTTGGATCACTTATGCCAAAAAACAGCCCTCCTTCTCCAATTCTTCTGTATCCGTGAGGAATGAGCCCACATGCTCTGCAGACTTTTGCTTGTAAAGCGTGTCACTTTCTGTGCACATGCTCCTGGTCTGCATATGGAGAGATACCGGATTGCATCTTACTCTTTTTACTCAGCACTAGAGGTTAAAACTTCACGTCTGCTGCTGTTACACACGGCATCTGTGGCCCTGGCTTTGACATGGTTGCTGTGTGGCCTCTCACAGAGCAGTGGGACACCTTTGACTGCCGTTCCCCAAGCTACAAAACAGGGATTCCACCCCCTGCCCAGGAAAGCTGCTGACGGGGTAGATGAACTGCTGCAGCCCGACTGTCCCTCACACATTCATGTGTTCAAGTCTTACTTCCCAGGACATCAGAATGTGGCTGCATTTGAAGACAGGGCCTTTACAGAGGTAACTTAGTTAAAATATAGTCATATGGTGGGGACCCATCCAATCTGACCAGTATCCTAATAAGAAGAGGAAATTGGATGCAAAGAAACGCTGGGGAAGGAGCACATGAAAACACTAGGGAAGCAGCTGTCTACAAGCCACGGAGACAGGCCCCGAGAAACCAGCCCAGCTGACTTCTTCATCTTGAACTTCTGGACCCCAGGACTGGGAGAGAAAAAAAATCTCTATCATTTATGCCACCCAGTATGTGACATTGTTACGGCAGCCCCAGCTAGCCGGCATGAGCAGGCTGCCCCCAGCAGTAAAGAACAGCACTTTCTCTGTTGAGACAGAAATTCTTCAAAATCAAATTCCATTAGTCAGTATTCATGCTGTTTTGATGGTGTCATGGAGCAAAACCTTGGGCTTGGGAGAGACCTGATTTTTCCCAGGCATCCAGTATCTCATCAAAGTCCCTGACCATTGTTCTGTCCAAAATCCACTAGGTCAGGAGAGAAAGAGCACATTCTGTGTCATAACTTTAAAAGGTATTTATTTAGTCTTTCACACCCACAGGGACATAGGGGAGTCTTCCAGCATCAAACCACCACACCCCTTGGCCACACTGCCCACCGGGAAATGAACTAACCCCTCACCCTTCTCTGTGGCCAACTTCCTGACACCACAGACTGCTCCTGTGTCTGAGGGCACAGTAATCACTCTGTGCTTTCTCCCTGCTCCAAAGGGCAGGGCCTCACCCCGTTTCCTGCCTCTCTATCTGTGCCGCTTCCACTCTGCCAAACTTCCCTCCATAGGCTGGTGCCCAAACTGAGCTTGGAAGGCCAGGTCGGATCTGTCTGCGACAGAAGCAAACAGCCTTCTGCTCACGTTCCATCTGTCTGTGGCAGCCAAGGGTCATGTCAGCTCCAGCGACAGGCACGTGCCAGCCCACGCAGGGCTGCAGAGCTTCCTCACCATGTCAGCGACAGAGCATAAGATGTTTTCTCTCAGCTTTAACACACACACTGGTTGTTGGGACCTAAAGGCTGGATGCTGTATTTACTACGCTCCTTGTCACGTGTCAATCTTAGGGGCAAAGTCTGGGGCTTCAAAATATTTCTCGTCCTTGATAGCTTCAGTTTTCTTGTCTATGATTGGAGCATGGCAATGTCTGTGCCCTCACCAGACTGCAGTGGGGTCCAGAGCACGGCAGTGGGGTCAGGGGCTGAGGAGGGAGCCTGCTCCCTCAGCACTCAGGACACAGCCCTGCTGATAATGTTGTTTCACTCAGGCAACAGTGACACCTCCTGGCCGGGGACAGCTCCTCCTCTTGGCAGCCCCACCCGACAGGGCCCCAGCTGCCACAACCCTGGCCTAGCTCAGGAGTTTGGGGGCTCATGTGTGAGCTCCTGCAAAGCAAAAGCATTCAGGTGGAGGGGCCAGCGCCCCACTGAGCCCCTCCTGATGCTCTGCCCAGGCTCTCTGCACCCCACCTTCCTTACAGAGTTTTCCAAACGACCAAATACCCGGGCACAAAAAAATAACATTTCAATCAAAACTAAATCTTGAAAAAAGGGACTTTTGACACACTGTATCAACTGTTCTCAAACTGTGTTCCACTTTAGATAAAATAGTAACACAACTTTAAGAATACAAAGAATCCTCACATTCATCACAGCTATAGCTTTTATAAATCTTTGTTAGTATTTCAGACAAGAACAAGCTGAAGTGCCCACATACTAATTGGTTTTAACGTTGTATATCAGAGATTTGGAAAAAAGGCTGACCAAAAATAGAAAAAAAAATTTTGAACAAAAGTAAAAAACTGGAAATGTGGTATACCTTTAAATAAACTAGTAAAAGGGCAAATTGTTTGTACATCTTACAAAATTCATGCAAAGCTCGGGGTTATATGATTGATTAATCACCTTCATATTCTAAACTGTTTAGCAGGACTACTTTTGGGTGTCTTTGTAATTATCCTCATCATTATTATTTCTTTAAGCATCATATATGTGATGTAATATCATTTACCTTAATTTTTCAGTTGTTTCTCTTGCTCTAAATATTACCAAGGTATGATGACACTGTTACTAAGAATTTTCAGGAAAATTCTTAGGAAACAGGGTTATGTTTACTTTTCCTTAGCAAATGATTTTTAGCAGTTAGACTCAGATTACTTAAACCTAGTATTAGATTAAGACTGATTAAGAATCCAAGAATAAAAACACAGAAGCAACCGAACTAGAAGTATGTACTGAGGTTTCCTTGCACTTCCTTTCTGTTAATGCTAGATAAATCAAGTTTCAGAGCATTTCTTTTTACCTTTTCTTATGCCAGTGTGTTGTGATCATATGTTGCAATCACATGTTCCAGATAAAAGTTTCCACCCAGGGTAAGATTTAACAAGAATCCCAACAGTGTCCAGAAACAGAAGGAGTGAGCTAAGAGACTCGGGTGCCCCTCCGGCTCCCTGGCACCTTCTCCCCGCTGGCTTCCTTTCTGATAGACCATCACCTCAGAGGAGCAGTGGGGACACTGCTCTTCTTCCCTAATGAACGGGGAAACTTACCACATGGCAGAACAGTCAAAATTCACCAGAAGCCATTTGTGGGGATTGAAGTTGAAAGAATCTGCAAACTGTCAAGGAGCAAGAACCACAACAAGAAGACCTGTTAGTTATAACTGTTTAGTTATAAAACAAGACCTCATACAAAAGTTGTTATCTCCAAATAAAAAGCCCTTCCAAATTTCTATAGTGTAAAGTGATGTACCACGTATCTATACTGTATTTCAAACTACTGGAATACATCTTTGGAATAATCAGAATTTTAGTTCACAAAATCCAGAAGTTGTACTGACTTGGCCTGTGAAATATTTTTATACCTGCAGTTCCTTCACCTTTATAACCTAGCAAAGTTATGAGCGTGTGTGTGTCATTGTAAGCAAGGGGAAAGTGAGGGTTTTATGACTAATGTGCAACAGGCATCAACCCAGTTTTCATTTAATTTCTTGGTTCTTTGCCATAACATATCAACAACCGTCCCCATCTACCTAGTTCTTTGCTTCTTTATTTTTAGAGCTAATATCCAAGTTCATTGTATTCCTGACAGCTACAGGTCCTCTGGATGGAAGATTCTGGGGGACACCTGTGGACACTGGGCACCAGCTACAGCTATCAGTTGTTATTCATCTGTTTTCTCATCTGAACAAGAACTGGGTCCACCTGAAGGGATCTGGCCACATGGCTAAATCCATACAGGAAGCAGAAATAAAGGCAGTTGCCATTGCCTCTGCTGCTGGCAAACTTTCCAGTCTTCCCAAGGCTTTCGGGCACCTCTTGTCTATTTGGTTGGGTCTGTGTCCTCCTGGAGACACTTGGTCAGCGGATGGCAACCTGCCACATCGACCCTCTGGAGGTGCAGATTCGTTTCCTCTGGGGTTTCAATAAAAGTAATTTTGAGTAAGAGACAGGAAATTACAGCAAGTTTCATTTGTTGATAAAAGGAGACAAAAGGTTAAAGAGGAGCTGTGTGTGCTGGGAATTTTATTAGTTCCCTCCTGTGGGGCTGATCTGTTTAAACTTCTTTCATTACCCAGCAGTGATATTTTTCTCCCGCTGACAGAGAAGGCGCTTATCTCCCAGGGGAGGGCGGCCACAGGATATTGCAGCCCCTTATCTGCCCAGCAGCAGCCCAGCTCTCAGCCAGGCAAGGAAGGAGAGGCGGCACCAGTAACCAGGGGAAAATTGAAATGACTCATTGTCGGCATGAAATACTGTCTGCTGCCGATAGGATCTAGCCCAGTGCCTGTCACCCTGGTGGTCTGACAATTAGGCACCCTTGGATGAAAGGTGAAACCACAAGGTGTCAGTGTGTGGGGGGAGAAAAGTAGTGATGGGGAAAGATCACAAACCCCTGAACCTGATACCAAGAGTTAGAAAAGGGCCCCGGTGCAGCCGGGTCTGGGGAGAGACATGTAAGTCCCCGGGAACGGGAGCCCTTCTACCCTGGGACCTGTGTGCACACAGGCACCTCCAGCGGCCGTATGAGTCCCATAATCAAAGGCATTTCCAGGTCTAGAGATTTACTCTGCATTTCCTAGCACTAAGCACCTGCCAAACTAGCAATCAGCAGTGAGCTGTAGCACCGGGTATCAGCACCATGTTATCCCAGCGTCCCACCTGGACATCCCTGCTGCGATGCTTATCAAAGCCTCTGGAAGCTCCATGTGCTGTGGGGGACCCATCCGAGTCCCCGCACACCTCAAGTGCTCCATACAGTTGATAAGTAATTACTGAAGGACTGAATGCGATGGAAATATATGCCAGATATATACTTTATTCATTAGTAACCAGGGGAGTATTCTTTCCAAAGATGGGACCCTTTGTATGCTACACCTCTGACATCCACTTTCTAGCATTACAGCATTATAAGAATTCAAAGCAGGAACTAGAAAATTGATCGGCAAGCCTGACATGTGAGTGGAGAAAATTTGTCCTAGCACAGTGAAAAATTATAAAAGTATCTAATGCATGCTCAGTACTTACTGCGTGCCAGACACTGTTTTATTGTTTTGTTTTGGGGTTTTTTTGGTTTTGTTTTTTTTTTTTTGAGACAGTTTCATTATGTCACCCTCGATAGAGTGCTGTGGCATCACAGCTCACAGCAACTTCAAACTCTCAGGCTTAAGTGATTCTCTTGCCTCAGCCTCCCAAGTAGCTGGGACTACAGGTGCCCACCACAATGCCTGGCTATTTTTTGGTTGTAGTTGTCATTGTTGTTTGGCAGGCCTGGGCTGCATTCGAACCTGCCAGCTCCGGTGTTTGTGGCTGGTGCCCCAGCTGCTGAGCTCAGGTGCGGAGCCGTAGACACTGTTTTTAAGCCCTTTAAATGTGATTGACTCATCTACTCCTCACCACAGTCCCACAAAGGATGATCACAATGAAATCTATTTTAGGAGGTGTCTAACTTGCCCAAGGGTGCACAGCTGGTTCCAAGGGTAAATCTGGGATTTGCACCAAGGACTTTTAAGGTCAGAGACCAGCCCTTCTTCCTGGCTCCACGTATGGGCCAGGTCCCCTGAAACTCTGCCCCTAAGCAGAAGGCGTCTCTTCCTCTGCCGGTGCCTCAGCTCCCACAGTCCAGCAGCTCCCTCTGCCAGACACACTGCTGGAGACTGCCTCTCAGGACTGCATGGCATTTGTATCTGAGTTCCTGAGGAGTAGAGACTCCCTGCCCTGTGAGCCTCCACCCACAGTGAAGTCCTACTTGGGGCTGAAAGAACGCATCCCAGGACATCTGCAATGCTGTTTCTTTGTGTTAAGTCTGAACCCTCCTGTGTCTTGCAGCTCTTTGGAGAAGCAGAATATTGGTCAATAATTCTGATTGCTATTTCAGAAAAGAAGCAGGTGTTTCACTTGGCATTACATGCCACATTTTATAATTTCCAGAACAGTGCGGAGGAGCATTTAAACTTATTGGTGGCTGCTCATTCAATACCAGTTAAAATCAATACCATGTTTAGGGGTATGAGCCCAACATGACTACCAAGTAGTTGAACCAGGTCGTGGAGAATTGCAAGTTGGTATTTTAAATTACCCATCGAGCTGAAATGTTACTATTTCCCCACACTTTCATAAACTAAAATCTATCCTATCCTGACAGCTTTGCCCAGGATTTGTGCAGACTGAAAAATCGCTGTAAACATCAGGGATAGTTCTGATGACTGGGAAGGTTCTCGGCCCTTGTCCTGAGGAAATATGATTGCCAGTAATCACTGGAATTAGTTCAAAAATAATTTTCTGAAACAAACTTACATAGCAAGAAACTGAAGTCATTGACAAGATGGTGCTTTAAAAAAAAATGGCCTTATGAAAGAGCGAAGAGCACGCCTACCTCCACTCCGTTCAGAAGAGGCCGGAACTCAGGACAGATGAAGGCGCTGCCTGCGTAGGCCGCGTCAATGTGCAGCCACAGGTCTTCCTTGTTGCCTAGGGCCCAGAAGCAACCTGTGAGTTCCCAGACCGAAGCCCTTGCCACGTGCAGTCTGACGGCTGACCTCACCCTGTCCGCCTGTGGTTCTTGTTCCTGGTGTGTCACTAGTACTTGTTGAGCTAATACCAAGGGCCCCTCACACCTGCGGGCAATGAGCCGAGGGCAGAAGTGGCTGTTCTTGGTCCCACACTCAGGTGCTCAGGAAAACAGGATCCATTACATGCCCTGGTTTTCAAGCCTGGTCCTCGCTGCTCAGCTTAGCTCTAAAGCACCAGTGTCCCATAATCCTGGGCTTGCCCACCCACACTGTATTCCAGTTACACTGCTGTTTTCTGCCCCCTCACTCCATATCACCCACCTGACATTTCCTTCCGGACACCCTTGCTGACCAGTAAGTGGATATTGCCTGGACACAGCCCACACTGACCTCCTGCCCCACTCCATCCACACAGGGAAGGTGGCTATTCATTTCATCCTCCATTCCCTTTGTGAACAAGGTTTCTGTTTCCAGCCGTGTGAGGATGGCCTTGCGGGCAGGGACTGCTCTTTGCTTGGCAGTAGGAGAAGCCGCTATGTTCCAAGCCACCTCAGTGCAGACACTTCTGAATTCAGCTCCTGCCTCTAGCACTCAGCAGCTGCATGCCCATGCCTACCTCCTCCAAGCCTTGTCATCCTCAGAGGCAAAATGGAGATAACATAGTACCCAAACCTTGAGGGATAAGCGAGGCAATATTCACAATCTGCCTGTCAGCACACTGAGCAGAGTCAGGGAGAAATAAGTGTGGCTTCCAAGGCTGTTCCCTCACTCAGCCCTTGCACTAGAATGGCCATGAAATATGTAATAATTGAAGGGCAAAGGACCCCAGAGAGGACATGGGCCGAGCTGCCCCTTCCAGGGAGGGTGCAGGAGGGTGTCAGCCGACACCAGCATTTGTGAGTCCATGGGCCCATCACTGCTTTAGATCCCTGTGCTGTGGGGCGTGGTGACCCTTGGGGACTCCCTGATAAGGGCACAAATCCCAATCATGAGGACATCACCCTCGTGAATACTGACTACCTCTCAAAGGCCCACCTCTCATTATCTTAGCTTAGGACTTCAGTATGTGGATTTGGGGGACATGAACATCCAGACCATAGCAAGCTTGAAATTTTATGCTCTCTCATGCAGGAATCTGAAGTTCCTGTTGCCCTCAGACTGTATCTGAGTCATAGCAGTGATGGCTGTGTCGTCACCACCATGAGTCTCCTCGGGGAGGTCCCACATTAGCCTCTGCCCTTTCTGTGCACTCCCATAACCTTTGCTGCAGGCTCACCCTGGCCTCCTATTCCTTGGCATGGTGGCATCAACTCTTCAGGACACATTTGATTTGGGGCCAACTCAGGGCATTAATCCTGAAGATTAAACTGAGTCAAAGTTTTAAAATGACTTTCTTTCATCAGCAGTGGCCTGTGGAGGTCTGTGCTTCCACTAAGGTTGTAGTTGGTCCCAAACTCCCACAGCAGGGAGCTTAGAGCTACCCATGAGAAGGAGGCTCTGTGAGGCTTCTCTTGTTTCCAGCTCTGTGCTCTGCTTGGCATATTCAACCGGCTGATAGTACACTCTTCCCTCTGGCCCCTCCTACACAGGTGGGCCCTCTGGGAGTCAGGCTGACACTGAGACCCTCGGCCAGAGCTGGATGAATTGGGAGCACTGGGGCACATCCAGGGTTGAGGCAGGGCTGCCACATCCCTCCTGCCAGGCTGCCTGCCCCTCCAGCCATACACCTGCCCAGCCAAGCCACTTCCCCAGGATGCAGCTTTGGCTGCCTGCCCGGCTCTGTGTCCTCCCCCCTCCCCATGGCCTCAGCCAGGACCTCTGTCCTCAGTTTCCCCACTTTCACCTAATTGACTTCAGCTCTCCACTTTTTGCATCTCATGCTCGTCTTGTTAAAACCTGCCAGACAATGGACCTGTCCGAATGGACCAATTTGAACACACTCTCTGGGGAATCACTTTAAAACCTCCAAAAAGAAAATGTGCTTCCTAAGGCTGCAATTTGGAGAAAACCATCTTTTGATTTGTTTTATTTTTCAGATGGTGGTGGGTAAATAATTTATATGAATTATTTTAATAGATTATTGTAAGTTGACCTGAGAGGTCAGCTCAGGATCTCAGAACAGCCTTGTTTGGAGTTGAACAGCACTAAATATCTGGTAACTGGTATCAGATAAGGGAATGTGGGTAGAACAGCGCTGACTTAATTGTTAAGGCACAGATGATAGTAATATCACCATCACTAAAAATAGGATGGTCAATATTTTGACAATTGACATCTGCATAAACCTTGGCAATGAACCAAAGGTTTAGGCGTTCACATTTCACCTCCTTTAGTGCAGCCCCAGAAGCAAGCTCTGCATTTGAGACCAAACACAACACATTCACAGCCTCTTCTGAGCAGAGGAAGCCCCAGGACAGCAGGATGCCTGAGATGGGTCCATCCAGGGGACTGTGGCTTGGTGGTGCCACTGCCTGCCATCATCTCCCTGGCCCGGAAGGCAGCCAGCAGTGGGCTGCAGGGACAGTGGGCCACATGGCTCTACCCATCAGAAGACCTCAGCCCTTTAACTCCAGTAGTGCTAGGGGATTACATCAGTCGGCCACTGGCCAGGACATTCAGTTCTTAGCCTGACATCTGAGTCGGAGAACTCCAAGTTGCTTGGCTGAGCTGACGAGAGTTTAAGGCTAATGAGGCCAACACCGTGGCCGCAGTCCTGAGGGGCCAGTTCTGCCTATCCCCCCAGCCCTGGGCCAGGCACCTCTGCCTGTAGCCAGTTGTTCTTACAGAATCTGCCAAAGGTCAGTGGCAGGGCAAAAATCCTGTGTGAACGGGCAAATCCACCCAGATCCCACTTTGTTTCTTTCTTTTTTTTTCTTTTTTCTTTTTAATTTGAGAGAGGATCTTGTCTCACTTCTCACAGCTGGCCACCAGCACTGCCTTCCTTGTAGCAGAGCCATTTCTCCCCGTATAAACTTGCCTTCTGAAGGAAACACTGCCATTTTAAACTTACAAGTGCTGCTTTTTCTCTCCATTTTACAGATGGAGCAAATGCAGCTCAGAATTTAAGTCATGCGACTTTCAGGGGTGGGTCTGGGCTGGACCACAACTTCTCTACCCACTACACCTCCAGCACTGCCTGTCCCAGCCGATGACACCGGGATGGGTGTCCAGATGCCCAGGTGAGGAGGGTCCATGCCTGTGAGTGTGGAGCACAGCCCGTGCTAGGTTAGGAGCAGTAAGAACGGTGCTGGCTTGTGCAGATTGAGGTTAGAGGCGACCGCAAGCCGTCAGTGTGGTCTCCAGTACAGCGTGAGTCTGAGAGCCTGACAGGGGCGGCTTCCTAGAGTGCGGTCATTGGAGAGGTCACATCCCTGAGGGACGGTGTCACTATCCAAGGAGAGTCCTCCTGTTCATAGAAACAGCTCTAAGGCCTGCAGCCTTCCCAGAGCCACACGTTAAAGGTAAAACTTTACACCTGCCGCTTAGTCATTTCACCTTCTGAATACACAGACGTCTAGTCTCAGTGAGGAGACCTACGTGCTCTGAGGAGGGAAGGAAGAGCTGAGAGTGACCCAGGACAGCGTCCGAGGCACAGCTTCTTCTTTGGTGAAATCTAGTTTTATTGTATTGATTTGCTAAATCGTCTTAAGCAAGTGGCTTAACTACATACGGTAATTCCAAAAAGGCTGAAAATGGATGTGCCAAAAGGCTAAGTTCAGGCCCAGGCCACTCTCGTGTCATGTGCATACCCGACCTGCACATGAGGGGCCACTCCGAGACCTGGAAGGTTTATCCCCTCACCAGGGCCAGCACCGCCTGCAATTTTAGGTCACTCTTATACTGCCTGGAATATTTTTTTCTTATAAATAGGACTCAGCTCTTGTCCAAGTAGCCCAAATTCTGAGTTTGTGGAGCTCAGACCAATGAGCTTTGTTTTTGCAAATACACAATTGGTCATAATAGGAACTTAAAGCCAGGAGAGCCCAGGGGAGGTGTGCTGGGCTCTCAGTGCACTCAGGACGTTCCCACAAAGCACGTTGGTTTCGATACTTACAGAGAGGCCCGACTTCTAAGAGATTGTCAAAGGAGCAGCATGATGTGGTCCCCAGCGTGGCCACCACCTGGAGAGTAAAAACCAGAACTCTCAGCCCCACATTGTGGCCACCTCCACAGACACAGCTGCTGCTTTGGGGCTGGCCCAGGGCCTTGAACAGGTGCGTGGTGACTGTCTGTGACGTGGAGATGCAGAGCCCTGACTGCACCTTTCATCTGTGAGTGAAAGCAGCATCACGGGTTCAGGGAAAACCTTTGCAGACAGAAAACAAAGCTGTGAGGTTAGACACAGAATCTGCCCTGGTTGGTGTTGTGGGGCAGAAATGAAGCATGGGGCCTTCTGGGCATAATCCTACATTCTGCTTTAGACAGGTAAGTACGCAAGGGCTGTCCGGAAAGTGGTGGTGGTGGGGCAATGGCTGGATACTTTCGGGACAGCCCTTGGGTGCATTGAAGATGAAACATAGTTACTACCAGGAAGCTGGAAGACTGGGTGTTTCTTCCTAGTCTGTGGGAGTGTGTGTCTGTGTCTGTGGGTGGGTGTGAGTGTGCACCCAGAGCACAGGGCAGGACAGCAGACGTGAGGCTCCAGCACGCTGGGATTGTGCAAGGCGTTCTTGGAAGGCGTCCTTCAGAACAGCCTCTGCGTCAGTTAAGAGACACAGCAGGATTTTGAGCAAGAGTGTCCCTTGCCAGCTTGAATCAACTGCCTTTCCCTTTCTGAATGGTCCTTCTCCCAAAGGCATGCTAACTTCAATCCTCAAAAGATTCAGGAGAAAACACTACTGACAGTGAACATGATTCCAAAAGGGATGCTCTGGGAGAGTGGGGAGTGCTGCTGTTCACACCCCTGGGTGTGTGGGCCAGAGGTCACCGTGGCAGTCCTGCCCTCTGAGCGCCTCAGGGGGCAGCCCTACGCCTGTACAGCCTGTGCTATTCCTGTCTCTCTCCCTCTAAACCAGCGGTTCTCAACCTGTGGTCGTGACCCACAGGAACTGTATTAAAGGGCCGTGGCATTTGAAGATTGAGAACCACTGCTCTAAACCCAAGCCATGCTCTGGCCTTATCTGTGTGGCTGGGAATTTGCATTTTGATGGACTTTGAGATGCTGAGACATATTTGCTGAATTAAAACTTTCCAAATAGTCAAAACACACATTGTGTTTACAAACCCAAAGAGCATAATTGATTTACAGATGTCACACACTGTCTGGATAATGAAATGCTTTTGAGGATAAGGGCAGAGAGGTCAGAACTTCATTATATGAGCCTAAGTCAGAGGCCTCTCTGATTATTTCACTTATGGCTGCCTAAATTTTACCTGGAAGACAGAGTCTCCTCTCAGAGCAAGTCAAGGTGCTCTAGGCAAGGTAACAAACACGGTGTCTGGCCTGGCCACAGCTCTCAGAGCTGCCTGGGTGGAGGGGGCCTGTCACTGCTTCTCAGAGAGCCACCCCTGTCCAGGCACTGGAGTCTTCCCATTCCCAGGACAGGCCTGACTGGGCCCAGCAGGGCTCTCAGTGTCGCTGTACTGTGCCCATGGGCTCCTAGTCCCCAAAGGCTACTCTTACGGGCAGCATAAACATGTAAGTTGTATCATTATTCAGGCATGTTAAGCCTGACAGATTGGGACACCACTGCTATTGAAGAGAGAGGCTGCTCACAGTTCCCAAGAGGAGGCACATCGCGTCACAGGGTCAGGCACGGGAAGATCAGGGCCAGTCAGGAGGCAGAGGGGATATGGGAAAATCATAGGCAAGGGGCTTTATTAGTTTTTGAGAGGATGACCTTAATAGTGAATGATAGAAAAGTTATTAATTCATGGCTTTTCAGTTATGGCTAGAATCAATCCCACGAGCTCTTTCTTCCTAGCTAACCAACTGACAGGTATCCTGCAAGGTTCCATTTTCAACAACATCTGAAAAAAGCCTAACAGACAGAAAGGAATTATAAATCTTTCTCTTTATATTTGCCAAAACTGTCTTTAGAATCTGCTGTTTCAGCCTTGAGCAGTTCCTGAACAGAAGCCAAAGGGGGAGGGTGGTGCAGGCCCTTAGTTTCTACTCAAAACCATATCTCAAGGGCAGAAAAAAATCACAGACAGATCACAATCACCTGTGATAAGCCTGTCTCCAATGGTGAGGCAGCTGCTTATCAGCCAGCCACTAAGAAGATAGAAGAAGGCAGTAGTTCACAGCACCTTGCTAATTTGCTACAACCATAAATCTCCTCCATCCCCTTAATAAAAAGTCTGAGAAGCTGGTTTTCTAGGCCAGCACACTCGCCCTATTTCACCTCTGTGCTGGTCCTTTTCTAATAGATCCTTTCCTATTTTTCTAGGAAAAATAAATAGACTTTTTTTCTTTCTGTCCTAATCTTTGAAGAAATCTTTCTCAAGACCTATGTACACCAGTTCACACCCTAACAGTCTCCATGGGAAGAACAGCAAGGCAGAGTCTGCAGGCTTGGGACTGGCTAGCTTGAACAAATTCAGTGGGCTCTGGGGGAAGGGCCTGCCTCTAGCTGCCCTGGGTGATGAGGGCAGGTGGAGAGTGGCCCATGGGTGAGAGCCCCACAGAGGAGGTGGTGGGTGCAGACTCTGGGTTGCTGGTACACAGATGAAGGTACACTGCTGATGGGTCCTTTAATAGCTCTAGGAAGCTGTTAACCTTGAGAGCAGGTTGAGAGCGCAGGCCCTCCAGAATCAGCAGGGCCCTAAGATGTCAAAGCATCAGAAACACAGGCAATGAAAAGGCATGATTATACACAGACAGATAACCCACGTGTGAAGCCCCGCTCGGAGGCCCAGCTATGTCATACTGGCACCTCACTGAGTTCCATTTTCTCACGTACAACACAAACGGGCTGCATGGGCCCTGTGGGGCTCAGCTCTTCACCTCAACACTTCTGAGCTCTCAGCCCCTTTCTCTAAACCTCATCCTCTCCTCCAGTCAAGAGTCAAGAACTCTACGTGTTTGCTTCCTTCTGACAAACTGAGTCATGTAGTGGGAATTCAAGTCAGTGTGTTATTATTGTTCTCTGGTATTTGCAATTTTATCCTATTATATAAATGAATATTAAAATGCCCTGTCTGAGGCACCCGCCTGGCTCAGTGGGTAGAGCATGAGACCCTCAGAATGCCTTGTCTGGGTGGTCAAGAGAATATTAAAAATTATGAAGTTAGAAGTAGAACCCAGAATAACTTAGCAAGATCAATATCACTTATAATTTATTTTTCCAGGTTTTTGTCTCCTAGAAAGGAAATTTTGTATTTCAGTGATTCCTACAGTTTTGTCTCATTTTCCTCAGTTAAATGCTAATTGAATTAAATGCAATAACTTCTATTGTTATAATCACATGTTAACTATCTTCTTGCTGAAATTATTTCCTATCTATTAATGTGTACATAGAAAAGTATCTAGAATGATAGTCAACAAATATTAAAACCTCAGAGGAGATTTTGGCTAACATAAGCTTTTATTCTTAGATTCTTATGGAATTACTGATTTTTTGTCTTTAGTATCAAACATGTTTATAGAAATAATAAAATCCTGCCTTGTCCTGGCTGGCCTCAGGTGAGAGTAAGAACGAGTGACATGTTCTGAGAGCTCACCCACAGCAGACTGGTGCTGAGAGCTCTCCCAGATGACACCCAGTCATCATGTTTGTGATCCTACTTTACAGATGATGCAAGTGAGGTTCTAAGAGGTGGTTAACTGTCCAAGGACACACAGAAACGCAGGAGCAGACCAAAGGTTGACCAGATTTGGTCAACTCTTCTCCTGCAACACCTTGGGTAGACAGGCCCCCTGGGTCCCAAGTTAAGGAACCCAGAGCCCCAGGGCCATGCCAGAGACCCCTCCAAAAAGCCCAAGCACTTTGCTCCCAAGAGGGAGGCCTGGGGATAGATGGCAGAGACAGGCTCTTGGGGTAGATGTGGCTGACGAAGCTGTGGGTCTCTGCAGAGAGGCCTGGTTGGACGAGCCTGGTTGGACAGTGTTCTCAATGGCTTGTGTATGTGGCACTGAGCCACAAGGCAGCTTGTCCTGGTTCTCAGAAGCCACTTTACAGCCGGCGCCTGCTCTGTCCGCTTCAGGCTCTGATCACCGCAGCTCAGCATTGCTCGGCGACACTGACCTGATTCAGCCTGCTCTGCAGGGACATAATCACATTTGTGCAGGGGAAGGCGGGGCAGGGGAGGTGAGGGCCTCGTCTCTGGAAGAGCCTGGTGTGAAGCACCGGCCCCTGCGTGATGATGTCCTCTCGCCTCACCCACCAGCCCCCACCCCCAGGTTTGTGCCTTGCAGGCATTGCCTCTGTCCGTGGCCTGAGTCTTATCAAGTTAGCTCATCAGGGAATCAAACCTTCAGGAGGAAGAAAGGGAAATATTATCATAAGCCCCAAGCCAGGAATGGAAGGGCAGCAGTTCAGCATTTCTGGGTCAAATGCTGCCAAATGTGCCCCTTGCTCTCAGCAGAGGGTCTTGAATTTTGAGGGGTCTGTGATCCCCCTTGGGGATATAATGAAGTCTGCATCCCTGTGTCCCTGAAGGCTGCACCCAGACAGAATGGGTGTCACAACAGCTGGGCAGTGAGACAGACTCAGGCTCCAACCACTCTAGGATGGGGACCCTGAGTCTCTTTCCAGCTTCACAATCCATCAGCCGCCCATCTAAGATAAAAAACTAGTTGCATTGCCCCAAATATCCTATGTCCCTTCACATCTCTGTACCTTTGCATACTCGTTCCCTCAATAAGAAAGGGACTGTGCCCAGGGCGCCTGCCTGCAGGTCCTCAGAGCATCAGGCTCCCTGATCCCTTCTGTGGAGTCCATTGCACTCCACCCTCATATACTCAATGCAGCACCCCTCAAATGGTGCCAACACTTGGGGTTCATCTGTCTTCCCTACCAAGGACCATGCCACAGGGAAGGGGACCATGGCTGGCACAGTGGCTGGAATCAAGTGTTTGATGAGCACCCCAGTGCAGGAATGGACAGCTGTGACCCTCTGCTCTGATGTATCAGAGGCCACTTCTGTGGCTTCTGCCAGCGGGTCACAGAGGCCTTCC